GAGAGAGAGAGAGAGAGAGAGACAGAAACATCAATGATGAGAGAGTCATTGATCCAGCCCGCAACCCGGGCATGTGCCCTGACCGGGAATCGAACCCCGATCGCCTGGATCCCAGGTCGACGCTCAACCACTGAGCCACGCCCGGCTGGGCTAAGCCAGTAGTTTTGTAACTGGAAGGTACAAAGTTTGCTTTTTGCCAAGCCTCAGGTCCGGGAGGAGCCCTTGGACTCTGGTGCGCTCACAAGGCTGGCCCCTGCTAAGAGCTAGTTTGGAGACCCAGGGTGCTCCTCAGCTAGAGCCTTTTTCACGAGGTGCACAGCATGTGGGGCTCTTACTGTGATGTAGGGAAAGGCCAGCTTGGAATCATTTAGGGATGAGCCCAAAGGTACATGCAAGACAGGGAACTTGGGCCCTAGCCGGTTTCACTCAGTGGTTAGAGCACTGGCCTGCAGACTGAAGAGTTCCCAAGTTTGAATCTAGCCAAGGGCACATACCTCGGTTGCAGGCTCGATCCCGAGTCCCGGTTGGGGCATGTGGGGGAGGCAACCAATCCACGTGTCTCACATCAATATTTCTCTCTCTTTCTCTTCCACTCTCTCTCTAAAAAGCAGTGGACATAGTGAGGAGTAAAAAAAAAAAAAAAAAAAAAGACAGGGCACTTGGCATTTGCTCCTTGGCGAATCCTGGCTCCCTTCAAGCTGAACTTAAGCCCACTCTTCCAAGGCACCTTGCCCAACCCCCAGAGGCTGGGCCTAAAGGGCCCAGCTGCCCAGCCTATGCTCCTACACGCTGCACGGTGGTGCCTGTGGGTGGTGGATGCAGATGAGTTGCGACACCCTGCCTGTGCTGGAGTAGGAAGTTTGAAGGTAAGAGACTGAGATGTTTGCATAACATTACTAAGGCAGAAATACCACCCTGTGTGACAGGCAAACAAATAGGCTTCTGCCTCTGAACATAAATGCCCTCCAGACCTTTGCTGCCAATGGCCCCTTCAATGCCTTCCATGGCCATTTCCACGTGTCCAAAACACGGAGTGCCATACTTCCCCTGTGAGCCAATCCCTATCCTGCCCAAGCAGAGGCGTCCTAAGTGCCTACAGTGCTCAGAGTAATTGTGAGTGTGGGTCTCCTAAATTGTAACCTTGAAGGGCTTCGCTGGGCTTTATGTTCACTCAGCCAATGGCTGGAGACCTTGCCCAGCACATACACATGATCAGCATTTGAAAATTTTCTAATAATTATTGCCCTCCACCATTTTAAGTTTGTATCAGTTACTCATTAATAGAAATGCCCTCTATTTTGGGGGGAATTATTATAGTTGCTAAGAGTGGCGATGGTGTGACAGTGTCTGCCCTTCAGAAGGATGCTGGGAAGTATGAAAAGGCCCTCCGTCCATAAGGCCTGAGTCCTAATGGGGACCCTCCCACAACAGGGCAAGGACCTGCCCTTTTCCTGGGCTTGAGGAACTCCTCCATGCAAACATGGAGCTTAGGATTCCATTTTGAGGGAATACACAAAATGACCAAGGTTTACTGAAGAAACAGTCTGCAGAATTCAGTGGTACTTGCAAACACAACAAGCACACAGTCATTAGTAATTAGAGCAGTCTGGTAGTATTTTAATCTAGAGCCTTTTGAGTACATGTAACAGAAGCTCACTTTAGACTGATTTTCAAAAAGCCAAATCCATTCTAAGGCTAGGGGAGGGGTTAGCAGAGTCCACGCGAGGCTCCCCAGCCGGACCCAGACACCAGCAAGTCCTCAGGGCGACCAGGGCAGCTTTCTCAGGCCCACTTTCTCTCTGTGTTTCTACTTCTAAACTGCTGCCTGTCCATGCAGTGCTGGCTCACGGGTCCTTATCTTAAGATGGCCTCTGGTATCCCTCATTCCCCCTGCAAAATTCTTAAGATAAAGAATTTTCTTGGGCCTGTTTGGATCCGGAGTTCAACCCTGGTCCAAGCGACTGCTATGTGGGAGAGGGGAGGGAAAAGGTCAGTGTATGCAAACTCGGTCCCCACTCCTGCATGGGCGAGAGCAGGGCCGGTGTCAGTCAGGCAGGTACCCCAACAACATCATTCGAGAGAGGCCGCAGCACTTCAGGGGCTTCGCTATCAGCACTGGAATGAAACAGCAAGTATGTGATTCTCTACAATTCAGTGATCTTCCCCTCCAACTGCTACTGAACTAGTGCAAGTCCCAGCCCAGTAAGTGGCTTAGTTTCATAGAGCTCTGCTGAACACGGAAGCCAAGCCGACAGCTACAAACGCCGCTTCCTGCTTGTCACTGGACTGGGGTCACATCTGCTTTTTATGTCCATCAGGTCTTACAGGAGTGATAAAGGCAGGTCACGTTACAACAGGTATCACTTTCTCACTAACATTTTTTCTAACAATTTGTGTTGAACTCAACAACATAAGGATGGATATTCAACTAATCCCTTGACTTATAAAAGCCTGCCAGGAAATTGTATTTTGTGAGCACACTGCACATAGCCTAGAACACAGTGGGCAATGTCAGATGAATCCAATTCTAATTCAAAAATAAGGATCGACTTTAGATCACATATTAAATCTGGCAAATATTTCAGGTCACATTCTGTTTCTGTGTCCCACGGCAGGTGGGCCAGAAAAATGTAACGGAGTCTCAAAGCTGCCATTCTTCTGAGAAGGACCCTGCAACTACTGACATCTCTAGCTTAGAAGTTCAAAATGCATATACAGAAATGACTGGAGAGTATCTTAACTGAAAGCACACTTTAAACAGCCTAGAGCTTCACAGAAATTGTTATTCCAAAGCATGCACAGGCAGCAAGAGTCACCCAAAAACCACACTTTATTCTGTGACCTTTATGGCTTTTCTGTGATTTAGAGATTGAAGCAAAGAGAAACAAACGGAAATATTTTGTTAAAAGAACAAAATGAATTAGTCACACAACATACACCTCATAAAATTTCAGGTCTATGCCATACACGTCAAACACAGGTCAAGTCCAGTGGTGGCTCATGTTCTGGGTTTTTGTAAAGCAAATGGAAATATTTGGAAGAGTCAACAATTTTAATAGAAGAGCTATAAATGCCCTGAAAGCAGAAAGTTGACACAATTTTAAATATAATTCATATATATATTTAAAATCAAACACAATTAAATAGAATATGGTTTAAGTACATGAATACTCAGCTCTAGAATAACAGAGGTGGTACATGGTACCAAAAACTTATACACAGCCTTCCTGCTTCTTCTGACGCTGAACAGTGTGCCTCTCTCTATACAATCAAATATTGCAAAGGAATAAACTCTCTATTCATTCAAGATTTCTCAAGGACAGAGGTGATTAATAATTATATATATTTAAATATATATATATATTTTTGCAAAGTCTGAGCAAAAGCAGTCCCACTTAAGAACACTCCCTCACCTCAAGAAGTCACATGTGGGGAGCAGTGGTGTCCGCTGGCCAGTGTGGCAGCCCTGCTGATGGCAGCGCAGTGCACCCCAGGAGTCCACTGAGCAGAAGTGCAGCGAGGAGTCTCTTACTGTCCTAAAGACAGGAAGGAAAAGGCCACCCACTGCACATGTTCCAGCTCAGAGCTAAGAAAGGGGAGGCAATTAAAACTGAGTGCATCTCCTCCCCCCACCCCCTGCCTTCTCACCTTCTTCAAAAAACATCATACAACCTGGGAATAAACATTGTTCAAGGTACCACAGGGGAACACTGGAGTGATCGCTATGTATTCTGAAAGGAAGTTAAAGGACCCAGAGCATAGCATCCCAAGGAGCAAGTTCCAATGCTCCAAGGACAGGAAACCCACCCTTTGGTTAGCAGGGGAAAGACCAGCTTCAAGTACACTGCACCTCAGGAGCCATTAAAATGTGAAAATTGTATACTGTCCCCAAAAGGAAGGACAATGCCACTCAGACTTGACCTGTGACATATCTGCTTCCTTCTAAATTAATGCCCTGTGAAGGCAGACTGCATAGAGCCTTCACCCTGTGCCACTGAGGAAAAGCCACCTGCCGGCACCGCGCTGCCTAGCTCGTGGGGGGCTGACTCCCGTGGTCTCAAGAGGCCAAAGCAAAGCACCTCTGGTACCCGCTTCCTGATGCTGTGAAGGGTGGTTACCACTGCAGACCTGCCTGCCACAGCATGCGGTCCTGTCTATTCCAGTGGGCTAAAACTCTCTCATAAATGGGTTATTGCCGTTGGAAAACTAATTTTCTAGTAATGTAAACAATACCACTGTCTCTTTATGACTGTCGCTGTGAACATCACGTGCAGCAAACGTCTACATGTCACTCTGTGGATGGTGGAAGTCCAGGATTGTCGCCACACTTTGTGGGGATACACCAGAGGAAAGAAGTACAGGGCTCTGTGTTCACTGGCTGTGTGAAGAGTCCAATCAAAGGGAAAATACTCTCTTATTTTTCAAAAGCAGGTTTCCTTTATCTTGGGTGTTGCATCATAGCTGAAAAAAGACAAAGAAAAAGGTCAGGTACACGCCTATCACCAGTGACACGTTATGTTCCAGGCCAAGGAGGAAGGGAGCCGACACTTAGTGCATGTTTACTAAATACCAGCGCTGACTACAGCGTGAGGTAAAATACTACAATTATCTTTATTTACAAATGTGTGAATGGAAGCTTAAAGAGGTCAAGCAGCTCACCCTGAGGTTACGTAAGAAGGACTGACACCCAGAATTGCTTTTCTTTCCATTTTAGCAATAGATACTAAGACAAAACATCTGCTTTCTGACAGAGTAATTTTGCTTCTAGGAATTAACCCAACAGCACACTCCTAAGAGAGGGCAAAGACTTACATACACAGATGTTCATTAAAATATTGTTTGTAACAGGGAAAAACCTCAAACCTAAATGCCCATGCACAGAGGATTCATTAAGTGAAGAAAGAGCCATGATATGAAAGTCAACTGCCGTAGAAGGAGAAATGGCCAAGCCTGTGAGGCTGCGTCTCTGTTCACTGGCAGGACTGGGAAGGAGACAAAGACCACAGAAGACATGGTCCTTGTTATTTGTGAGACGGGACATACACACATGAAACAACTCAGTAATGCTGTGAGGCAGTTTATGTTAAATGTCAAGTACTCTACAGGCAAATGCAGAGTAGCAGATGCAAAGGAGAGAGGGAGCAACACAGGATAAGAAGCTGACCATTCCTTACGGATGTAGGACTTCTCGCATTCATAAAATCATGGAATGAGAATTAGAAGGGGATCTTACGAGATTTTCTTGTCTGGTTTCTCTGAACTACTGGTGAGAAAATAAGAGACAGGAGAGGAAAACTAATTTGCAAAAGGTCACACATACTGACTAAAAATGGACTAACCTAGTTCGGCTGGCTTAGAGCTTTTTCCACACTAGTACACTGCTGATCCCTAAAGGACATGCAAGACAGATGTCTTGGCCAGCCAAAGAGAAGGCCTAGCAGGCTTAAAAACCAAAATATTGCAAAATATATCTGTATATCTTAAAAATGAAAAGCACATGATAATAAAATCTGAATATACCTCGAATGAAAAGCCTAATTTTATACATCTGTTTTTCAAAATGGTTTCTTCTTTTTTTTTAAAAAAAACGTATCTTTATTGATTTCAGAGACAGGAAAGGAGAGGGAGAGAGAGAGATAGAAATATCAATGATGAGAGAGCCAATGATCGAGCCCACAACCCGGGCCTGTGCCCTGACCAGGAATCGAACCCCGATTGCCCGGATCCCAGGTCGATGCTGAACCACTGAGCCACGCCCGGCTGGGCTCTTCTTTTTTTTTTAAATACAGTGGAACCTCATTCTGGAAGGCTGTTCAAGAAGAGATTTGTTTGAAAACCAAATCATTTTTTCTCATTAGAAATAACGTAAGTTGAATTAATTTGTTCCAGACTCACAAATGATTCCGTTTTAACCTTTCTTATATACAGTACATGTCTAATGTACTGTTTAATCTATAAACAAACACTTCTTTTCTTAAATTTATTGAACTACTCCCTACTAGCCTTAAACTAATCACTTTCAGCACTCTTTTTGGGGGGGTGTCTTTCAGGAGGTCAGCAGGTGACTTCTTCTCTTGCTGTCACCAGTTAACTGTTTTTCTTTACCCAAATCAACAAGTTTTTCTACTCTTAATTGCCTGTGATCATTTCTTTCACACCCTTAGCAACATTGCACTCTTGATGGCCTCTTTATGTTTTAAAATTGTGTTAATGGGCATTTCACCAGCAACAAAAGTAAAAAAACACAAAAATATTCACATCACAATTTCCTGAGATGTTAGTAGTAAACCGACTCAAACCAGCACACTCTCTCCGTTGTGGCCTGAGAGCCGCTTCCTGTCGTGCTGATGTATCAGCATGAAAAGGTTGTCAGGTGAATAACCGAAGCTTGTTCAACAACTGACATATTTTTTCCATATGAACAAGTTGATCAAGGACCGAACTGTTCGAGATGGGAGACGTTTGAGAATTGAGGTTTGACTGTATTTTTATTGACTTTTAGAGAGAAAGGAAGGGAGAAGGAGAGAGAGAAACATCGATATGAGAGTGAAACATTGATCAGCTGCCTCCTGCACACCCCCCACTGGAGATCGAGCCTGCAACCTGGGCACGTGTCCCGATCGGGGAATCTAACCAGAACCTTTCAGTGCAGGGAGGACTCCAAATCAACTGGGCGACACTGGCCAGAGCCCAAAATAGTTTCTAAAAAACATCTTCATATTCTTAAACATTTGACCACCAACATGATTATGGGGAATCACAAAAATAATTACCTTGCACTTCTTAATACACTTTTATCTTGCTCTTTGCTATTTTAGGTTTGAATGAGCCAATGAAGTTAAATATAGATAATTATTACCCTTACATAGAAAAGAAAATAGAGTCTGCAAACTTGAACAGAGCTTTGGCAAGAATTAGCTCAGTGAAAAGATCAAAATTAAACCAAACTCTGTATATCAAATGTCATTGAAAAATTAAAAAAAAAAAATTAGCTTGGCTGGCATGGCTTAGCAGTTAGACACCGACCTACGACCCAAGAGATCAAAGTTCGATTCCCAGTCAGGGCGAATGCCTGGGTTTCGGGCTTGATCCCCAGCAGGGGGCGTGCAGGATGCAGCCAATCAATGACTCTCGTCATTAATGTTTCTCTTTCTCCCCCTTCCTCTCTCTGAAATCAATAAAATATATTTTAAAAAAAAATTAAACCAAGCTCTGCTAATGACAGTTTTTAGAGTGAAAACTTGGTTAGAAAGTTAACAAGGAAATGGTGGTATTGGACCTAAATCTAAATTCAAGCCCTCCAAACTACAGAGGTACACCATATAGGATGTTATTTGAACATATTTAACTCTGACTCCTAATTTCTGGCTAATGGAAATGGTACAGGAATTTAATGACTTCACAAAAAATATGAACAGAAATTCTCCTATTGTATTAAGTCTTTGTGAATCAACTCAAGTTAGAGAAAGTAAAACAGTTGAAGGCTGAACTGAAGAAAAGGCTGGGAGGGGGCTAAGTGGCTGTCTTCAGTTTCCTAAAGGTTGTTTATGTGGCTCTTGTGGGCACAATTAGAACTAGCTGGTGCAGCTACAGAGAAACAGAGTATTAGCTTGTGGCAAGTCAGAATTCCCTAATCACACCCATTCCATTCACTCCTTAAAATAGCACTATTCAAAACAGCAACACACAAATTCACATGAATGAAAATATTGACAGAAGAGGAAACAACAAAATTTCAGAAGCTGGAAGCAAATGGATGAGTGGTAAAGTAAAAAAAGGTGACAAGCAACCTGATTTACAGTGCAGAGTCCATCAAAGCCTGGGGATGGGTGTCTCCATACCTATGGTAAAGGGAGTAGGGGTGGATGCAAACATAGGGATGTCTTAAAAGCCTGTTTTTAGAAATTAATGATCTACGGTTATTGTTCTGCGATTCTGATCAGCCCCAAAACCACCCCAAGCAGAATAATCTGAGACTGCTTCTCTGAGCAGATTAAAGTTTAGGGTTCTATACTAGGTATGACCAAGGACAGGGGCGCTACACTGAAAAGAGAGAGATTAAGAGGTTGTGGTATATACAGTGAACACTGCAACTCCTTTAGCTTTTGCCCATGTGGCTCCTTGAACACTGGCAGCTTGGTCTCTGTCCTCTAGGCAGGAGACTGGTGGTTTCTCTGGGGAATGTGATCAGTCCAATAATAAAGAACTTAGTTCCCTAAGGAAATCTGGCTAGTTTATGTTTTACTTTTTAAGAAACTGCCAAATGGTTTTTCAAAGTGGCTGAAGCATTTTATATTCCCACCAGTAGTGTATTAAAGTTCAAACTGCTTTACATCTTTGCAAACACACAGTACTGTCAGTCTTTTTAACTTTAGCCATTCTATTGGGTATGTGGTTGTATATCATTGTGACTTTACTCTGCATTTCTCTAATGACTAATAATATTGAGCTCTTTGCATGTGAATATTTGCCATCTGTATATCTTTGTGTAATGTCTGTTCATATCTTTTGACCATTTAAAAAACATCAGATTGTTGCTCTTCTTAATAAGTTTAAGAGTTCTTTATATATTCTGGATACAACTCCTTTATCAGAAAGGTGTTCTGCAAATATCTTCTCTCAGTCCTTAATTTCCCTTTCCATTTTCTTCAGTCTTCTGAAAAGCACTTTTTACTTTTGATGGAGTTCAGTTTATCAGTTTTTCTCTTTTATGCCTCATGCTTTGTGTGAACTAAGAAACCTTGCCTAACCCAAAACCACAAAGATTTTCTCCTACACGTTTTATAGTTTTAGCTCTTACATTTAGGTCTAGGATCCATCTGGGGTTGACTTCGTATGTGCTGTGAGGAACAAGACTCATTCCCCCCACCCCACATATGTATCTAGCTGTTCCCATTCTATACACGAAAAAGGCTAAATTTTTCCCATTGAACTACCTTGGCACATCCAGGGTGGGCAAAAGTAGGTTTACAGCTGTTCATATAAAAAATACAATAATTAATAATAAAATAATAGACTGTGTTTCATGTACTCACAACTGTGAACCTACTTTCGCCCCACCCTGTATATCAGAAATCAATTGACTTCATCCATTTATTTGGGTCTGCTTGGGCACTCTCTATTTGTTCAACAATCTTTATGTCCACCCCTATGGAATATTACCCTGCCTTCATCATGTAGCTTTACAGTACGTGTGAAGCCAAGCAGTGTTAGTCTTACCATTTTGTGCCTTTTGTTCCCACAATTTTTTTTTGTTATTTTAGTTCATTTACATCTCTCAATAAATATTATAATCATCTTGTCAATTTCTACAAAAAAAGGCCTGCTAGAATTTTTATTGTGTTTGTATTGAATCTACCAGTAATCTTGAATAATGTACAACATGGTAACTATAGTTAATAATACTATATGAAACTATAATAAAACTCTGAAAGTTGCTAAGAGAGATCTTCAAAACTCTCTTACCAAAAAATGTAACTGTGTATGGTGATGATATTAAGTAGACTTGTGATCATTTCCCAATGCATACAAATATTGAATCAATATGCTGTATACCTGAAACTAATATAATATGTCTACTATATCTCAATCATCATCATCATGGGGAGAAATAACACCTTAACATTCTTTTCATTCACAAACATGATTTATTTCTGTTTTTATATTTAAATCTTTAATTCTGCTCAGTTGTTCTATAGCTTATACTGTACAACTCTTGCAAATATTTTGTTAAATATACTCCTAAGAATTTTATGGTTTTCAATGCTATTGTAGGTTGTATTGCTTTTATTTATTTTTATTTTATTTATATATATATATTTGTTATCCTCACCTGAGGATATTTTTTCATTGCTTTTCGGGGGGGGGGGATAGAAAGAGAAAGAGAGAGAAGAGAGGAGAGAGAGAATGAGAAACATCGATGTGAGAGACACATTAATTGGCTGCCTTCTGCATGTGTCCTGACTAGGGCTGGGGATCCAGCCTTCAACCGAGGTACGTGCCCTTGGCTAGAATCGAATCCAGGACCCTCCAGTCTGCAGGCCGACATTCTAACCAGTGAGCCAAGCTGGCCAGGGCTGTTTTCTTATATTTTGTTAAGGATTTTACATGTATGTTCATAAGGTATACTAGTCTGTAGCTTTCTTGTAATGTCTTTATCTGATGTTTGATGTTACGGTAATACTGGCTTCATTAAATGTATTGAAAAATATTACTTCTTTAATTTTCTGGAAGTATGTCTGGAATTGGTATTATTTCTTTTTTAAATTCTACCTGGGTCTAGAGTTTTCTTTGTGGGAAGGTTTTTAACTACAATTCAATTCCTCTTATCCCTTGCCCCACAAGTTTACTGATATAACTGACATAATATTGTGTAAGTTTAAGGTGTATAACATTATTTGATACACATACATATTGCAAAATGATTACCACAATAAGATTAGTTAATATATCATCCCACATAATTATTTTTAAAATAGTGAGAATATTTAAGATTTATTCTATTAGCAACTTTCAAGTATATAATACAAAATTGTTGACCATGGTGAGCATTAGACCCCCAGAACTAATTCCTCTTATAACTGGAAGGCTGTACCCTTCGACCAATAATTCCCCATTTCCCCCAACTCCCAGCACCTGATAATCTCCATTCCACTCTCTGTTTCTATGAGTTCAACTTTTTTAGATTCCACATATAAATGAAGTCACACAGCATTTCTTTCTCTTTTGACTTGTTTCACTTAGCATGATGTCCTCAACATCCATCCACGTTGTAACAAATGGCAAGATTTCATTCTTTTATATGGCTGAATAATACACCATCACACACACACACACACTCTCTCTCTCTCTCTCTCTCTCTCTTTTGATCCATTTAACTGTTGATGAACACTTAGGTGATTTCCATGTCTTGGCTATTGTGAATAATGCTGAAATGAACATGGAGGTGGCAGATTATCTCTTCAAGGTAGTAATTTCATTTCCTTCACATATATACCTAGAGGTGGGATTGCTGGATCATGTGGTCATTACATTTTTAATTCTTTGAGGAACCTCCATACTGTTTTCCAAATAGCTGCACCAATTGACATTCCCACAAACAGTGAACAAGGGTTTCCTTTCTTCTACATCTTCACCAACACTTATCTCATGTCTTCTTTATAAGATGTAAGATAATATCTCATTGTGGTTGTAATTTGCACTTTCCTGATGACTAGCGATATTTAGCACATTTCATGTACCTGTTTGCCATGTGCCTGTCTTCTTTGGAAACTGTCTATTTAGGTCCTTTGGTAATTTTTTAATCAGAATATTTGGGGCTTTTTTGGGGCTACTGAGTTAAGTTCCATATATATTTTTGGATATTAACCCCTCAAATTCAATTTTATTTTTGGATATTAACCCCTGAAACTCACCATTATTCAGGTTATCTATTTCTTCTTGAGTGAGCTTTATTTTTGCTTTCAAGGAATTTCTCCATTTCAGCCAAGCTGTTGAATTTATTAGCATGAAGTTGTTCATAATATTCCCCTATTATCATTTTAATAACTGTAGGATCTATAGTGATGTCCCCTCTTTCAATCCTGGGACTGGTAATTCATACTAATCTCTTCTCCACCTACTCAGTCTGGCTAGAGGTTTATCAATTCAACTGATGTTTTCAAAGAGCCAGGTTTTGATTTTTCTCTATTGCCTGTGTTATTTTTTATGTAATTGACATTCACTTTTATCTTTATTATTTCCTTCTTTCTGCTTTATTTGGGTTTAATTTACTCATTTCCTAGCTTCCTAGCTTCTTTAAATAGACGGAGACCTTTCTTCTTGTCTAATAAATTTAACGCTATAAATTTCCCTCTGAGAACTGCTTTAGCAGTACCCCCAAAATACTATGTTTTATTTTCATTTTAATTCAGTCAAAATATTTTCCAACTTCCCTTTTGATTTCTACTTTGACTAATGAATTACCTTAGAAACATGATGCTTAATTTACAAATATTTGGGGAATTTACCACATATCTTTCCATTACTGATTTCCTGTTTAATTCCTTTGTGATCCAAGAACAACTGTACGATTTAAATTCTTTAAAATTATTGAAACTTGTTTTATGGCCCAGAATATGGTATATCTTGGTGAATGTACATGCCAAAAGAATGTATATTCTACTGTTGCTGGATCCATTGTTTTACAAATGCCATCTAGGTTCTTGAGGAACTGACCTTTTTATCAGATAAAATGTCCTTCTCTGTGCATGTAATATTCCTTGTTTTTTAAAGTTTACTCTGATTTGTAGTAATATAGCTATTATAGTTTTTTTTTTTTTAATTATGTTTTTATTGATCTCAGAGAGAGAGGAAGGGAGGCAGAGAGAGACCAAGAGGGAAATATCCATCAGTTGTCTCCCTTATGCACCCCGATGGGGATTGAACCTGCAACCTGGGGATGAGCACTGACCAGCAACTGAACCGACGACCCTTCAGTGTACCGAACAATGTTCAACCAACTGAGCCACACCAGCCAGAGCACAGCTTACTTTTGATAGTGTCTGCATGGTATATCTTTCCCATCCTTTTATTTTTAACCTGTGCCTTTAAATTTAGTGTGTTTCTTATAGTAAAAGTTGACACTTGAATGATGCTGGGGTTAGCGGCCACAACTGCCTGTGCAGTTGAAAATCAGCATATAACTTACTTAAGTCCGCCTTCCACATACACGGATTCCCAACTGCCAGCTGATGCTTGAACATAGGTCAATGGAAAAGCAACTGCAGTCAATGGAAAAGATTTCGTGTATAAGTGGACCTATGTAGTTCAAACCCGTGTTGTTAAGGAATGAACTGTATATACCTGGGTTCTGCCATATTATCCAATCTGACAGTCTCTGTTTCAACGAGACTATTTAAATCACTTATGTTTAATGTAATTATTAATATGATTTGGTTTAAATCTACCATTTTGCTATCTGTCCTCTATTTGTCCTATTGATTTTTTCTTCCCTTTCTCCTTTATCCTGAGTTCTTTTGTATTCAGTATTTTTTAGAGTTTGTTTTCTACAGATTGTGTTTTCTCCTGAATATGGGTCAAGTTTTTCTGCTTCCTTGCCTGCCTGGTAATTTTTGATGTGATGTCAGACATTGCATTTTTACAATGTGAAGTGCTGAATTTTGTTTTTTGTTTAAGAAGGGCTGGCCTTTGTTCTGGCACGCAGTTGTTTACTTACAGAGCAGTGTGATCCTTCCAAAAACTGCTTTTAAACTTGGTTAAGGTGCTTTATTCTAGGGCTAATTTAGCTGCAGTAGTAATGCATGTTTCTGAGGACACTACCCAATGCCTTGTGTATTACAGTATCTGTTCACAGTGGCAACTAGAAACATCAACTATTCCTAGCCCCATGGTCCAGGAATTGTTCAGCCTACTAATTTCTGGTATTCTTACCCTGGCCATAGACATTTTCACCCAACACATACACTCAACTGAGGACTTGAAGAGATCTCTCTACATCTGAAGCTTTCTTTCTGTGTAGCTCCTTTTCTGGTACTCTGTTCTATGACTTCTAGCCATCTTGGCTTGGGCTCTCCAAACTTCAATTTCTGACTCCTCAATTCAGCAAGACTATGAACTCTGTTAGGTTTTCTTTTATCTGCACTTTGGAAATTAAATGCTCCTGAGCAGGGAGCTATCGATGTTATCCTTTAAGGATTATAGCCCTCTACTGCCTGTTGCCCAATCTCTGGGAATAGTTGTTTCTTTCAGTCTGTCAGTTTCCTAGTTGTTTATGATGAGAGGGTAATTCCCATAATAGTTAATCCTTCAAAGGCAGAAGCAGAAGCTCTCTTATGTCTTTTTTTTTAATACACAGTATCTGGAATCTAATTCTTTTCCGTTTTAAACAAGCTATATCAGAACAGAAGTCATCCTTACCTTTGTAGACTTCTCTAACGGTTGATCATGTTGCGCCTGCTGCATAACATCACTAACTATCATTTTAGCAATTTTCCAAGCTAGCTCTTCTTGGGCCTAAAAGAAGTAATTGAAACTGTTGAAAACAGTTATCCATTAGAAGAATCAAGACATACATTTCAGTGCTCTAAACACAACTGTATATGCATATCATTTCTACCTATTTAGATAAGAAGCACATTGCCATGTATGAGAGAACCTGGGCTATGATCTATTAACATGCTAGTAACTATCTTCCAAAGTTAGCTACTGGGTACCCAACATCACACAATTTTCACATTAGCTGGTCAAAACAAAACATTTTTCTTTTTCTACTCCCATCTCTCAATGTACTTTACTATTCAAAAAGGAAGCCTCCACTTCTGAAGGTAAAAATGACAGTGTTTTGTTTCTGCACTGATTACTGATGTCTGCTGTTTGATGGAAACTGAATACATCATTATTTTTCAGTGGCCAGAATCTGGGCTGAAGACACCTCCACGGCCTCCACCAGGCAATTATTAGATGTTAAGAAGGGCCCACCCTTTCTTGTTACATCCTGGGTAAGGGAGTAATGATGTGCCATGCTGCTTCAACATGGCCACTAAAGAAAGAGGAATCTTGAAACCTTAGTTATACAAGGTTCCACTTACAAACAGGAATCTCTTTACACTAAAAGCAGAATTTACCTCATCAGAATTTCCTTGCACCCATTTCTTCATAGCTTGTGAGAACATGGATCCTAGTAAACAAAGCCAAAGTTGAATGCAGATTTCATGCATAATTTTACATTAAAAATGCTCTTACAAGCTACTTCCAGATATGGACATTCTTTTTTTTGTACAATCTCTAAAACATTAAGGAATATTACTATCAACAGAAAGTGATTATGTGTCTCCATAATAGAGTATTTAACTGGCAAACATCATGCTTTGAAAAACCTTTCAAAAGCTGTTTTGAGTTCTACATTTTTCTTCTACTTTGATAAAAGAAACTTTCACCTAGTGTTAGATTTGCAGCAAACTAAAAGAGCAAAAACAAAATCATGACCTGGACTTAATTTTGGGTAAGAATCTAGGAGATATCAATCTACTTGTTATATAACCAAATCTTCCCGAGCAAGTATTATACAAAAGGGCTTCAAGTGTAGATTACACTGCTACATGCTATATAAATTAGCTGCATAAGAGCAGAGTTATAAATAGCTATACTCTGTCCAAGCCACGGTGCATCTCAACTTCCTAGCAGACACACAAGCCTATTTACAACTGTATCAGATGCTGAAAAATGACTAAGGCAGTAGGCTAGCCTCTATTTCCGTGAATGAAATACACAGATTATCCTTTCATTAATACAAATAGGTTTAAGTCTTAACTGCCTTAAACCAAGTGGTTGGTAGTTTATTTTTTTAGGCAAGGTCCTGATTAATTCAAGTACTGGGATAGAACTAAACACAACTCATGAAAAATACAAAACCTGATCCTTTGCCCTTTAATGATTTTTATTTCTAGCTATAAGTTTGAATACTGGTCTAGTTAAATTTTATGACCAAGCAGAGTCAACACGGCCACAAGAGCACATGCTCTGCCTAGCGTCTCAAATGGCTGCCGATTTACCCAACGCGCCACTCTCTCTTCAGGCTCACCTGCAGAGTCACACTGCTGACAAGCTTCTGCTTGCTAACACTCTCTCCTTTTCTTTTAGTTCCCACACCTCTACTCTTCTCTGTGTATTCCCTTCCTCTTTACCATGGGGCTTCTCCAGGATCCCATTCCCAGCCTTCTTTTCTCCCTTAACACATTCTCTGTGGGGCATCTCATCCCCTCCTGTGGCTTTCACTTTCTTCAAAATGCAAATAACTAAAAACCTCATCCTTGGGTGTCAAACCCATACTTACAAACTCCTAAAAGTATCCCAAACCTAACGTGTTCCAAATGGAACTCATCTGTTTCCCACCTACTTTTTCTTATCCTCTAGCTCAGAAATTAACTGAATCCTCTATGAAAATTCATTGCATAATTTTTCATCCAGAGAACTCATGTTTAAAAACTCAACCTACATTTCTCATTTACTCTCCATATGAAACCTGTCACCAAATTCTACCTTGGATGCAGTCTTTCAAGTTATCCCTTGGAAGTCTTATAAATCTGACCGTCTTTCTAATTCCTGCTACCACTGCCTACCTTCAAATCCTCTTTTTCTTTTATCTACATTATTAGCTAACCTACTACCTGACTAGTTTCTCTAATACCATCTCTCCTCAACTCCAATTCATTCTCATACTACTGCTAGAAAAATGCATCTAGTCAGTATTCTGCCTAGAAATCCCTGACACCTGTATGACAGGAATCAGGTTTCTCAATATGACATGCAAGGGCTTTCGCAACGCGAGACAGCTTCATCTCCACCACTGCATCCGACACCAGGACCGGCCACTCCAGGGACCACATGCTCACAACACCCTTTACAATTCCTTCTTGATACACTTTCACATTTAAAATGACCTTGCTTGCCCCACAGGCAAAGTTCTCATACTCTTAGAAGCCTCTGAGACACACCCTTCTCAAACTCAACCCTTTTCTCTGTGTTCTATTATCAGGGTTTCAAAACCCAAACTGAATCTGTAGACTGGCAAATGATGAACACTCCCTGCAGTAGCCTCAACAAAGCAGCAGAGGAAGGGAGACATGGAGCTGAACTGCAAACTGCTGTCAAAATGGTATTCTAAGCAAGGCCGGGGGTGCTCTTCATCTGCATGTGGTCCCTAACAAGTTACATCTCCCTCCTCCTCAACTTCTTCGTTTATAACAAGGAGGCAGTACCCACAGATGTGTCACCTAAGATGGGCACGAGCTGGGAGATGCTACGAAATCACGGTATGGGGTCTGAGAAGGGGGATTGGGGCTCTGAATACCCTCAGGAGGGTAAAGTAATCTGGATGAGAAAACTGAGTGTCTATGTCAGTTTTAACAATAAAGTTTTTATTAAATAGAATAAATATGACTGAGAAAATCCCTACTGAAACTCTTCTAGGTTAATTAATTAAATCAACAAATATGTAATGAGTGCCTACCACACTCAAGCATAATTTTAAATCAGGGGATACAGTATCAAATAAGACAGACAAAACTCCTACTCTCAGGAAGGTAATGTTCTAGTCATGAAAGAGAAACAGACTACAAAACAAGAACGCAAGTAAACGAACACGGTGGTTTCGGGGCTCTCCCTCTCGGGAGCAGCCCGCACCTGTCCCCCGTCCCACCTCCTCCTCCGGGCGCGGCACCTTTACCCTGCTCTCTCCCAAGCTCCAAGAGTCCTTCTTCTGCCTCTCTAACTTGTTTCCTGAACCCATTTCTTCTATGACTCACTTCTTGTACCTCTGTGACTTTCTAAATAAACTTTCTCTTGAATAAAAAACAATCTCAGACAGCGAATAAGAAAATACAGAAGTGGTATGTTAGTGGTCCAAACGATTCTGGGTCACCTGGGCGGGGGAGTCCTCTCAGAAGAGAGAATATGGGGATGAGCAGCCAGGGCAGGACTTTCATGCTGGGAAGCAGCAACTGCAGAGGCCCCTAAAGGGAAGGGACTTCAGGGAGAGGACAGCAGTCCAACCGGAGCGTAGTCTGTGAAAGGCAGAGAGGTAACAGGTAGACGGGGACACTGACAGGTTACAGTGAAGAGGTGCCAGGAAGCCAGGGGGAGCAATGGGTGGCTGATGAGGCAGTAACCATGCAGGTTAAGGAAATTCAAACAGCAAGGAAAAGGGGGTAATGGAGAGTAAGGGTGCCCCTCTCCACATGTCACACCTTGTGTACCCTTTTAAAAGCACAGCACATGAGATCACCTAGATGTACTCTAACCAAAAGTGTTAACTCACATCATCAAGACCTTAGGTGCAGCTATGAGTTTACGAGAAATACAGGGGAGAAAGGAATAAACTAAAGAATACAACCAGAAAAGTCCAGAAGGCTGGGCATTTTATAGGATAACTAGCACAATAGGCTTAGCAAGTCAAGGTCATAAAAATGGGAGTAAAGTAGATTAAAATAAGCTGAGACCACATCCTCTTATTTGTAACCTTTGCATCTACAGTGTCCGCACACAGGAATCACGTAAGTGCCTTCTCCATGAATGAACCGAGTCTGCAGGCTTCTACATTACATCATTTACTTGCCAAAAAATATATGACTTAAAGAGGCATTTGAACAACTAAAGGAAGCACTAGGATATACAGACTTATTTAGTCAATTGCAGAAATGACCATTCCTTACTTTACACAGCATGTCTCAAATTAATAATGCAACTCGCTGGATGGGCTTACTGTTGGAGACAAACGCTGTTGCCTCCGCCTTCGACTCTAACCCCAATCAGACCATTCTTCCCCTGCCCAATC